TTTGATATATATATATATATATTAAAATTAGTTATAACCTTTTCTTAAATTGGATTTTAAAAATAAATTTTTATTTTACAGATTTTTGAATTTTTCTCTTTCTGAAAATTTAACCATGGGGTTTCAAGATTATTATGGATCAACAAACGAAATTATAAATGTGTGCAGTTATAAATTGAAGTAAAGCTATAAAAAGCCAATTTCCTGTACATTAAAATATATTTCAATTTTGATTTCCTGTCAGTTATGTTTCTAGAATATAAAGTTAAGAATGTGTGCATAGATCAGTGTAAGCAAATATATTAATATAAATAAAAATATCGAGTATTTTTTTCTTTTACAGCGCCCATACTTTGAACACAGCAAATGTGAATGAGGAAAACTAAACAGATTTTTAAGCAGAAAGTTGAAAATGAAAATATAAAATAAATAAAGATGTAAAGCAAAACAAGTATGACCACACAGTAGGCAAGAAAAAATGACAGTAGACGACAGCTATATTCGATCAATCATATCAAATTCACTTAATTTCAAAATTTTGGGGTTTGAAAAAGTTATATGAACTAGCTAGTTTTTGTGATTTTTAAATAAGTGGGTCATACTTGTAAAAACTCAACGTAACAAGTTAGTTTAAGAAAAAATGCTAATTTGCCGGAGCTCAGCTAAATTCTCTTTTAAAATTATAAAAGAATTAACCCATTCACGACCAGGGAACGAAAAAAGAAACACTTCACCAGGCCTCTGGAAACAAAAAGACTCTTCTCATCTGTGACACCAGGCGCCGTGAAGTGAAAATTGAGTGATTATGAATGTGTGATCACAATCCTGGTAAGGTAAAGGACCAAAAGTTGAAAAACTTTGCCAATTAAGAAATAGCAGGTATAAAATTGGAGTGTTACATGAATTATTGAACTAAAACAGGCAAAATAAGTCTACATGAAATTTACTGTGCCGGAATCATACTTTGATCCATCAACAGGTAACATCTCTAGTCCAATTGAAGTCTGTGATCAATGGTTTCCTAGTGGACCTGTTAATAACATTTTTGTGAGCATTTAGCTATATCATTTCCATCGGCGAAGGTGATGTCGTTTATTCGTTTTAGGAATACCTGGTGTTTGGCTGCGTGCTAACTTTACATTCGGACGCTGCTTTAAGGCAGGTTGAGGCTTTTCTGGGGATATCAATCGACATGTTTTTGGAAGTGGAGATTTGGATACAGGATGGTCCCGTGATATTAAATTGTGGTTTCTGCTTTGTTTGCTGTGAGGTAAATGATATTGAAGAATCTGTTTGTGTACTCACTGTGCAATATGAAGTTTTAGCTGCCGCTGAATGGGACACACCCGGACGGGGGTGCGGGCCGTAACTATTCTGCGGGCTTCGTTAGATGTTAGGTTTTGTAATACTGCAATTGATCGGATTTACTTTTCTAGTGACCATTTCGGACAGCTTCTGGCGCAAGCTGCGTGATCACCCTTACAATTGATGCAAAAAGGTGACAGCTCGCAGGAAGTGTCTTCATGGTCATTACTAGAGCAACGGGCATACACCGGTCGACCTCGGCAAAATGTTTTAGAATGCCCGAATCTTTGACATAGATAGCAAACGCAAAGGATTTAAGATATAAGGTCGAACCAGGCAGTTAATCCAAGATATTTTAATTGCAGTTGGCAATTTAAAAGTGAGGATAAGGTGCTTCGTAGGGACTTTTCTACCATCCCTGCGAATCGTAATCCTTCAAACAGATGCAAAGTTTTGAGATTGAAGGTTATCTAATATCATGTCTTCTGTATCATTCATGAATTCTATTACTGGTATGACGCCACGAGAGGTATTTAGTGATCTACGAGGTGTGACTGTTATATTAAAAATGAACACTCGGTGGTGCATGTTGATAAAATAGTTGCCTGTTTTGCAGAAGAGACTTCAACTAAGAGGTCACCAGAGCGTAGCTTCTTTACTGAAGCAACTTCTCCCAGAATGGAAAGAAGAGCCTTGTGTATCAGAAATGGAGATACGTGGGTAAATAAAAACACTCCTACTGCCAGCTGCATCACCCACCATGGAGTCATACTAAGAGGATGCAAGTAACAATAATTTGTCACTTAACACCGATGCTAACCAATAGCTATACGTCTTCGAGTCACCCTTGAAGCAGCCTCCACCGTTAACGAGGAGCCCAGTAAGTGACCCTGGACTTGATGACGTTCGTGACCAGCCGGTTGATGCATACAGGCCAATATGCACCTCCCGTTTACCTGAAGCACGGGCCAAAGCAATGTATTGGGGTACCAGGATGCCCCTCAACTGCCAGGATCTCCTTTTCCAGGGATACGGGTCTCCATGCATCCCTGAAGGTATGAGGAATTGGAGAGTTTTGTCTGTTATTACGCTTTTAGATATATTCAGAGTGTTATAAGGTGTTACTGTTATATTAAAGTTTCCAAGTTTGTGTAATGTAATGATAGATGTTAGTTCAAATTGTTGTTGTTGTTTCTTATCCTCTAATTGTCTGACGAAGACAGACAAGATCCAGTAGGTTGTTGGTCCTCAAAAAGTTGATGACAAGAAGTGGAGAAGCATATAAGTCCTCCTGGGAAAGGCCCAAGCAGTCAAGGATATGTTCGGCTGAGGCCTGCTGGGCTTCACATTCGGAGCAGACTGCATAAGACTTTCTTCCTTTAAAGTACGAGAGACTATTCGTGTGTCCACTTGCCAATCTGGAAATAGCTGTTTGAGATGCTCTATCACCTATATGAACAAGTGAAGAGCCCGGTTCCTTGGCCGCATACCAATGATGAGAGGGGGGGGGGATCCTCCACTTTTTTGATAGATGGCTTTTGATTTTGGATTGATACTCTGAGTAGGTAAGAGTTGATGACGAAGATGTAAAATGAATACAGCCCTCCTTGGCCAAGCGATCCGCTTGCTCATTGCCAAAGATGTCAACATGGGATGGTATCCATTGAAGATGAACGTCGTGGTGCTTTGAAATAAGTTGAAGTTTAAGAAGGATGGAGATGCTTGTTTTGTCTCCAACTTTAGTCCAGTTGTGTAGGTGCTGAAGGGAGCTGTGACTGTCCGACAGGATCCAAAGATCTCCAAAGTCACTCTCGTTGATTATAGCATCGATGCCCTGTTCAATCGCGATTAATTCACTTCGAAAGACTGAAGTGAAATTAATTATGTTAAACAAACCACAAGTCACATGACGGTGACATTTTTTTGGATTACCAATTTGTGACTAAAAAGATTTTTGAACTAGAAATGGAGATAACGTATATAATTTCTTCTCAGTCGAATTAAGCACTAGAAATCTTGTTTAAGTTGGGTCACAGTTAGATAATTTGATAAGTCAAATTTAGGTGCAGGTTTTTTAAAACTGTGTGTGGAATCTTTGGACGCCTTCATAGCGCATGAAGACGTTCTGCTGGTTACTCCCTTGCCCAACATCGAGCTCAACAAGGAGAACAGAAACACCGGCTTCGGCTCATAATAGTTCAGCCTCGGTTCTCTATTCAGGGTAGCTCCAGGTATAGTGCTATACCAGAGAGGCATGGATCCGCCAAAGCTATCAGAGGTCAGGAGCACTCTCCTGATGCAGAACGTGGTCCCTAACAGGGGATAAGCAAGCCCTACCAATCGATTTAAAGAGAGGGTGACCCGAACTCCTTCCTCTCGTCTAGAGTGAAGCAAGGGGCCAAAGATCACGCAGCCTGAAAACTCCGAGATAAAATGCGAATATTTGGTAAAAGGACTGAAACTCAAAACAGGACCGTCGCAAGAGAGAAATTGAAGAATTCTAAGGTTCAGCTCAAGGCCCCGGATGCGCCTAACCTGTCACACAAGAATGTGCCCCTGGGGGGTTGTTTTTGGAAGCCAATATAATATATGCATTCTGTGAATGTTCATGAGTTTGATGTATCTCTAGACACATTAGATGTATTTATTATTGTATATGAAAGTTATTTTTGGTGTAAACTTGAAATACAGTTTTCCTTTACACCATTTTTGGAGTTGTTCAATATCGAATTACACCATGGTTTATATAGTGTAGTCTTTTTTTACCGAAGGGAAGAAATTAAGTAAAACTGTTATTGCCAACGTGAAGAAAAATTTCTATATTTTCTCTTAAAATTCGCACGTTTGTAACCTTCACAACGTTAAAAGCATTTTTGCAACAGCCCAATTTACGCTAGGGGCGTCAGGGAGATTAAGGCTGCACAATTTTGTGATCAGCGACATGATTGTGATAATGTGGTGAGCACTGCTCACAGTGCCACCTATACTTCCCAGAGAAGCTTGTACCCATCGATCTGAAGCTGCCTGCTTCTAGGGTTCGAACCACAGTTTTTCGCAAAGACAGTTCAGTGCCTTAACAACTGAGCCATGGTCGCTTAGCGATTTTATAACGTTAGTTGCTGATAAGTTCTCAGTTTAATTCTAACAATAGCCCCTCAGAGGGTTTATCTTCTTTAGGTAAAGATAGGGTATCACGCCCCCGGGGCACAATAGTGATCTGTCCTCCCTTCCTCTCCCTTTTCTCCTTTCTCTTCCTCCTTGTGGTGGTTGCCGAATTTACTGGTAAGGGCTTTTCATCTGTGTTCAATTACCACCTTGTTGTATCGGATCCAGATGGGAAGAGACCACTCACGTGTTTGCCGTGCGTGGAGACCCGTGTCCCTGGAAAAGGGGATCCTGGCAGTTGAGGTGCATCTTGCTACCCCAATATACTGCTTTGGCCCGTGCTTCAGGTAAACGGGAGGTGTATATTGGCCTGTGTGCATCAAACGGCTTGCTTGCCAGGAACATCTTCTGTTAACCAGGGTCAAGCCTGCGGTTACTTACTGGGCACCTCGTTAAGGGTGGATGCTGCTTCAGAGGTGATTCGTGGGAGTATGACAATCAGTCAGCATCGGTGTTTAAGTAGCGGATTAAAGTCAGAACCAATCTATTATTTGCATCCTCTTAGTTGTACTCCGGGGTGGGTGGTACCGCTGATAGTTGAAGTGGTTGAAATTTTCTATGGCTGAAAATAGTAAGGTGTTCAGTTCCGCACATAGTAAAAATAGCGGAACAGCTCCCTTACCATATGATTACGCTCGATACTACATCATCAAATTAACGAATCCTGAAGTAACAAATACTTCATTTACAAGACTCTCCCTTCTAGATTCACAAGGCCCTAATTTCCTTTTTAGGAGAGGTAGCCTCTGTAGAAAAAACTCCTGTTGATACAAATCATATCGGAACAGCAAACGACCTTGTTAGAAACTTGTACAACCATGTGCTCATTTGCAGTCGATGTTACACATCATAAATCACTAAACACCTGTCGAGGTGTTATATCAGAGACGGAGTTCATCAATGATTCAGAGGAAATGCTCACAGATGAACTGAAAGATCAATATGTCACCGCTGTCAGTAGAATAAGGATTCGCAGACATGGAAAACTCATCTCTACGAAACACTTTATTCTTACTTTCAACATGCCTAATTTACCATCTTCACTTAAGCTTGCTTGGCATAACTGCCCGGTTCGACCTTATGTCCCAAACCTTTTGCGATGCTTCCAATGTCAAAGGTTTGGGCACTCGAAAATATCTTGTCGAGGTAAACCTGTTGTTCTTGTTCCGACCATGAAGAAAATTCTTTCGAGTTACCACCCCTATGAATTAACTGCAAGGGTGCTCATGCAGCCTGTTCCAGGAGCTGTCCCAAATGGTCCCAAGAGAAAGAGATACAATCAGCTAAAGTCTTGCAGAATTTAAGTTTTGATGAAGCCCGTAGAATAGTTATCGCTCGTACTCCACGTCCGGGTGAATCCTATTCCGCTTCAGCTAAGATCTCATATTGCTCTGTAAGTACACAAACCGATACCTTACCAATAACTACCTCACAACAGACCAAACAAAAACTTCAATTCAATTTCTCTGGACCAGTATCTAAATCTCCTCCTCCGAAAAATAACAAGATAATGACAATTTCCATTATCGCATGGAATTGTCGTAGCTTAACTAATAAGATCTCTGACATCAGATATATTGTTTTTAAATACCATCCTTCATGTTTTGCTCTTCAAGAGACACATTTAATTACATCAGACAATTTGAACTTACGTAACTATGTCTGCAGTCGCAGTGATTCCGTATTTGGTAATCGAGCTAATGGTGGTGTTGCGCGTTTAATTTCGACACATTTCCTGTCAACTTCATTACAGGTCGTAGCCGTTCAAATTCATATTAATATCTCCATTGCAATCTGCTCTGCATATTTAGATCCGAACGATCTAGTAACCCAATATGATTTAAACATTTTGATGAATCAGTTGCCCAAGCCTTTCATTTTACTTAAGAGATTTTAATGGTCATAACGTACTGTGGGGAAATCCTGGCACAAATGCTCGAGGCCATCAAGTCGAAACACTCCTCGTGGATCATGATCTTTGTCTACTGAACCAAAGTGAGGACACTTATTTTCATGCTGAAACTCAGAGTTTTCACTGCATTAATCTGGCTTTATTTTCACCTTCACTTTTACCTTTCAAACAATTTTCAGTCGATGATGATCTTCATAACAGTGATCATTTTCCTATCATTGTTACATACTCATCTAATTTTTATATTACTCCCAGACTATCTGCCTTAATATATCACCGAGCGGATTGGAAAATTTTCACACAACTTGCTAAAATAACGAACGATATGGTGTCCGATGAGAATATTGAAACTGTTGTTGACACATTAACATCAATAATAATCAATGCAACAGATGCTAGTATTCCTAAAACATCCAATTCTATTCCACGTCATCGGAAGACTTGGTGGAATACAGAATGCTCTAAGACTCACAAAGAGCAGCAGAAACAATGGAACTATTTCCGTTGTTATCCAAGTACTGATAACCTTGTGGCTTTCAAACGAGCTAGAGCACTTGCTCGCAAGGTTCGGCGCCAAAGTCAGAAAGACTCTTGTTCACACTATGTTTCATCTATCACATCTACAACATCTCCCAGACAAGTCTGATCGAGGGTCAAGACAGCGAATGGTATATACCGTAAAATCCATCTTCTGGTATTTTTTAGAAACGGAACCACGTACACTTGATCCTGTAGATGTGAGTAACATCTTGAGTAAAACAATCGCTGCCGTATCTAGCATCGATAGCTATAGCCCAGCTTTTCAAGAACAAACAAATGGCCAGCTTCACAAGAAAATGGCCGAACGCAGCTCACTAAATTGTGAATCTCGCCGACGGTTACAATATAACAGAGTTTTCATGCTTCAAGAACTACAACGAGCGCTGGCTAGAGCTCCAAACACGAGCCCAGGCCTCGATGGGATATCTTATCGGATGCTACGCCATTTGAATTCTGCATCTCTTCTCAATGTTCTCTTGCTTTTCAACAGAATATGGACCGAACAAACTTATCCAACTAGTTGAGATGAAGATATACCGATATTAAAGCCAGGTAAGGATCCGTCAGAATCTATCAACTATCGCCCCATAGCACTAACTAGTTGTTTCAGCAAGATTTTAGAGCGTATGTTTAATTCTCGACTAATTTATTTTCTCTGCTTTTCAAAGTGGATTTCGTAGAGGTTAACGTTATGTTAGTATTAGTTATGTTATGTGCTTATGTTAGCTCTTTGCTCCAAAAATAAATGATAAGTCGGCCTGTCTAATTCAGGGGCTCTACTCCTGTCTAGTAACTCACATCCTTTAAAGAGTGGCGTTACTTCATTAAGCTTGGAAAGACTATATGAAGCTAGATCTTCTCACAACCAACCATTTCATGCTCGCTTTCGTACATTCATCCAAACTTTTGACATTTGTGAATTACCATCGCAATCAGTGGATCATCTTCTCATACCTCCGTGGACCATCTCACCCTATCAGTTTTATTCACATTTTATGATGTACAATAAATCGAATGTTGCACCCTGCATTTATCAGCAACTCTTCACTTCCCATCGTCACCAGTATTCTGAGTATATGCCTGCGTTTACTGACGGATCAAAATCTGAGGGATATGTCTCTTGTGGTGTCCTATAGCTACAAAATCCCAGATGTTTGCTCCGTCTCTACTGTTGCCATCCTCTTGACATTACGGCGCTGATTTCGACGCGCTCTACAAGGAAGTATTGCATATACTCAAACAGTATGAGTGTTTTGAGTCAGTCAGAAAATTTTCCTAGTGATACTCACCCAATTTTATGTTTCATTAATCATTTGTTGATTATTCTCCACAATAACGATTTCAATATTTTATTCTGCTGGGTACCGAGTCATGTCGGTATACCAGTGAACGACTTGGCTGATTTGGCTGCATGCTCTGCCACCACTGTTTTAGCTATATTCATACCTTTCTCAAACATAAAACATCACATTCGGTAGTCTATTACATGTCTCTGGCAACAACAGTGAGATCTTAAAATCAATAACAAATTGCACTCAGTTTAACCAGATATTTACCCTTTACCTGCATCAGGTCTACGTCACGCAGACGTTAAGCTAACCCGTCTTCGAATCAGCCACACTCGTTTGACACATCTACATTTACTGTTTGGAGAACCGCCTCCCCAGTTCAATTCTTGTAATTTTTTACTCTCTATTCATATTTTAACTATTTGCCCATGTTGTAACTTTTATCGTCTTACCTTTTTTGGTAGTTCTATTTTAGCTCTGGAGGATTTGTTAGGAGACATCCATCATCCTAACATTTTTGCGTTTCTACGCACAATTGGTATTTTATACTCTAGATAATTTCTTTATCCGATTTACACTTTTATCTGATTTTATTCACATTCTGATCCAGTTTCATCTTGTTTTATAGTGTTTACATTTTAGCTGATTTTATTCACTTTCGAATACTCTTGTTACGTTGCGTAAAGTTCTAGTAAGAAAAAATAGCAGGAAGCTTTTTACCTTTGATTC